TTTCTGCAGGTTGAAGCCAGCCTCATCCAGGAAGAGGTACTCATGAGGTCTGGCCATCGCGTCCAACTGTAATATCCTCTGTGAAAATGTGAAAGTGCACAGGTGTTCAGAACAACAGTCAATCAGGTAGCACAGTATTGTCCAGAAGTAATGTAGGCCACTGAGCAACACAGTAAACTGTACTACTGTACTGTGAACATGGATGTATACTTACTTGCACATACTCGTAACGTAGGTCTTTGTGTCGCGCAGAGAAAGGGAACCACCATATCCACAATGAGGGTTTCTTGTGCCGCTGTAAATATGGCAACCCTCCCACCTCTATGTGGCATTCTTTCAACTCTAAAGAAAGAAACATGTGTTGTCAATTGACATGTTTTACAATACAGTAACAACTGATTTGAAACCAATAGACTACTTTCACAGGCTTGTAAAATTGTATTGTGACAAAGAAAGCAATAGAGTACAATACCTGTTGTGTTGTCTGAATGCCCTGATAATGGTGGCCATGGTGAACCTACTCAGGTTTGGACGGACTCGTAGTCCTGCTTCAGCCATTGTCATGCCATGGACAATGACATGGTCAATGACTGTTGCTCGCATCTCGTCCGTAATGATGGTGCGAGGTTGTCTTGCTCTCCCTCCTGGACCTTCTCCTCTCCCTTGTTGGCCTGCTCCTCTTCCTCCTCTGATTTGAACTCCTCTTCCTCGTTGGCCTGCTCCTCTTCTTCCATGGCCAGCTCTTCTCCCTCCTCGCCCTTCTCCTCTTCTTTGTTGTCCTGCTGCTCCTCTTCCTCCTCTTTGAAGTACTCCTCTTCCTTGTTGGCCTGCTCCTCTTCCTCCTCTGATTTGAACTCCTCTTCCTCGTTGGCCTGCTCCTCTTCTACCATGGCCAGCTCTTCTCCCTCCTCTGACTCGAATTCCTTTTCCCCTGACTCTGCCTTCATCCATTGTGTTTGTTTGGAATCTTCAGCAAACTGTGCACTCTGAACTTGCTTTTATACATGTGGTCACAGCATTAGCAACAAGTGTCTTCAATTTTGAGTCGTTGTGTGTAATGAATGACGCCAGGTGTGTTCATTGTGTTCAAATATTGCTGACTGTGGCAAGCATTTTGCATCACATGAGCTTTCATTTGAGAATATGAGCAGAGTTCTTTTGCAACTTGTGTTTTAGCAAAGAAAAATGTGTTAAGATTTATGAGAACGGAGGATTGTGTTTTGTGAATTGTGTCTTCATGTGAAATGTGTTTATGATATTGGAAAATGATGGCTAGATTTAGTAAATGTGTTTAGACAACTGGTCATTTGGTTTAGAGGATTGGCTTTTGTGTTTTAGCATTTGAGAAAAACTGTAATAGCATTAGTACACCTACAATAGTAGAAAAAGCTTGTTGTTCATCAGTGGTAGAAGAGGTCCTTCCACCTGGGCATGTGGCTCAGTGGTAACGTGCATGCTTTGCATGTATGAGGTCCTGGGTTCAATCCCCAGCATCTCCACAGACTCGTCAAATTTAATTTCAGCAAAACGTTTTCAATTTGGTCCTGCAGCGTTAAGACATCTGGAATTAAAAGCATTTGTAATCCTACAGAAGCAGAAAAATCTTATTGTAGCTCATTAGTTCATTCCACTGGGGATGTAGCTCAGTGGTAGAGCGCATGCTTTTCATGTGTGAGGTCCTGAGTCCAATCGCAAGCATCTCAACAGACAGTTAAATTTTAATTTCAGCAATACGGTTTCAATTTGGTCCTGTTGAGTTTCCACATATGGAATTAATGGTGCTTGTAAACCTACAGTAGCAGAAAAAACTTTTTGTACCACAGTAGTGAAGTTCTTTCAATTGGGGATGTAGCTCAGTGGTAGAGTGCATGCTTCGCATGCATGAGGTCCTGGGTCCAATCCCCAGCATCTCCATAAACTTTAGAAAATTTAATTCAGCAAAACGGTTTCAACTTGTTCC